TTCGGTATTCATCTTTTGCTGCGAGATTTGGGTGATGGCTAAGTTAGGTGACCCTCCGTTATATGCCATCAAAATCTCTTCACCTTGATTTGGGTGGACGGTGCCTTTAACTCCATTTTGAAGAAATGCCATCATTAACCCCTTATCTCAGTGTTAAAGAAATGTTACCATTAACACCTTATCTCATTAAAACATCCCTTCACGTAAGACGTTACATAAAGCTATACCGGTGGTGGCCTGAGGAGAGGGGAGCGGCTTATAAAAAATTTACACAACCAATTTGGATACCCAGACCATAAACAATTTATGGTCTTGATGGTACCCAAACTGGGCTTTGTAAAATGTAAAAGGCAAAGGTCCACAGGCAGAAGTCATGTCAAAAATCTCTTCAGTTTTTCATGGTGCCTCCCACCTTCATGCGTTGAAGTGCAAAAGTGCCTGATTTGTAATCAAAGTTTAATTATCAGCAAACGCCTTTGCCGAGCCAGGATACCTTTTCTGATCACCCAGGCCTGAAAACTCCCCGCCCCGCAGATGCAAGGTATGTCAGGCGACACTGCAACAATGGTGAGATATTGCTATTGACATCCGATGTGATACTACCTACCCTTTACCGCAAAAAGGCAATCAAGAAAAACCAAAACGAAGTATAAAGTACTTACGTCATGGTCGACTTCATCCAATTGTCTGGCTGTCTCCCAGTAAGCGAAATCTCCACGAACTTTACTCCAACAATGGGATATCACCCCTCGCAACCGTGGCTCCAATTCTTGCAACTCCATCTGGCATCGTAAGAGCTCCTCAGAAACTTCGTCCTACAAGGAAAAAAGCAAGAGTTACAAGCATTATGGAGCTGTCATTTGTCAGTACGCAACTGTTCTAAAAATTATAACTCTTAGTTTCGGAGAGGTTTAACGCCATAATGAGCCAGCGCTAGGCAAATGTACTATTTCTCGGATGAACGTAATCGAATGAAAACGCACGAGGTCTGATTCATCGTCATCTTCTTTTCCTTCGTGACTCACGGCTAGATCACGTTCCACAGATCCAGTTGCGATTTCACGATAAACGTGTTCAGTTGACGACGGTATCAAACCTAAGAGGAAAAACTGAATCCATATGAAAACTAAGACAAGACAAACCTCTTTCAACTAGCATCTTAACAATGCGGCTACCAATTTCTCGGTAATGCCTTTCTATCTCACTCTCTTCGGAAACATTAGACTGTGCAGATGAAGAAGGTGACAAAAGTTTTGACGGTGAGTTTCTGTGAATACCATTCTCCCGTTTCGTCTGAAACAGCGAGATAATCAAAGAGCTAGAGAAATGCAAAAAACCATCGACTCACCTCTCCATTACGTCGTAGCTTTCCTTTGTGCTCTCCATTATACCTTCCATTAGGAGGGTTGGACGAGCAGCTGGGACCGGGAACATCCCAATCTTCATCTTCCCTGGATTCTTTCTTGATACGAGGTGAACACACTGAAAATATATCAACAATGCAGTGAAACATCGTAAAAACGAATAAAAATTACTTAGAAGCTGAAGAATAAAAACAAATATATGAATTACTTACACCGAGAACTTATCGGCGAACGTGACAAGAAGCCATTAGAATGCACTACGTCAACAGACATTCCGTCGTCCTTGTTCGAATCCTGTCCACCAACAAGTCCGCCGAGATCGGAGGGCTCGCTTTTGATGGAGACTAAAAAAGGCGACAGAGAAATCCAAGTCATTCTTCCTTTTATTCTCTTATGAAATGGACAACTTCTAATACCAACTTTTTCTTTCCACTTCGCCTTCGTCACGAGAGTGGAGCCGTAGGGAAAGACGCCGTGAAGGAGGTGTCGTGAAATCATCCTTTCGCGAAGTTTCTCGACTAGCCGCCGAGACCACATCGCTTATAAGCGGTGCGAGTTTAGTATCGGGCAAACGAGGAGTGCGCATTGATGACAGCGAGGCTCTATGATCAAATAAAGAATAGAGGGCTGTTGATGTAATAAAAAAATTCATACCTCTTTTCCTCCTTCTCCTTCTTCTGCTCTGTCTTCTTTTCGAACGGAGTACTCTCTATGCTAGACTTCCTTCTCGTACGTACACTGGCTGTCTCACCAGAAGCAATTCGTGATCGTTGGCGTTTGCGATATTTCCACGGTTCTAAACAATATACTTGAGTTCAAACCGACGATGATGGGAATGCCCT